GTCATAAATGGAATATAATATTAAAGTTAAATGTTCTCATTAGCATAAAATCACCTGAATATAAGAATCGTTCTGTTTTCATTACCTTAGAATGACACGCTTTTATCTATAGATTCCAACGTCGCCCTTCATGAGTCCACCTTGTTAAACCGCCATGTTTCTAGAATTGACAAACCAAACTCAGGATTTGGATTCAATTCAAATAAATGTTTTAATTAATTTTTATTGCGCCAACTTGTCTAGGAAAATGATCAAAAAAAGTCTCCTTTTTAAAAAAACAACAACTTCCTTTTAACAGACAGAAACCTATAGGGGCCTTGACGTTTACCAAGTTTACCAAGTCTTCCCAATTCTCATTCTCCGATCAGAAACAGGCAGTATTCAGTCAGTTGAATCTGCAAAGTGATACCTCAAGTATGTATTGTTAAGACAACTTGGGAAGTTGCTTGTATCAATTACATTCAGTTAATTGAACTTAAAATAGTAATGAGTATAATATATATAATATATATTACATAACATAATAAACATTACTCACTTGCAGCATTTCTCCAAACTTATTTATAATGTGTGTAACATAATTTATCCAAATAAAGTAAGACTAATGTAATTGCATCTTCTTTATACAATTGTTACCACTTAAGTTTAATTTTAATAGTAATAATTTTAATATCAAAATAGCTGATGTACAATAAAAACAATTTACAATGAATTGATTATCATAAGCAATTAATTTTATGTGAATCAATCTAATTGTTACTGCTGTAATTAAAACTGCTGTAAAAAAAAAAAAAAAATGACTGTGTGTGTCTGTGTCTGTGTGTGTATGTGTATACAGGGTGTGTTCATGCATGTTGTGAAAGGTGTGGTGTCCCAAAATAATATTTTCAAACAACGAGAGTCAAAAACTGCTCAAGTGCAACAACAATTATGACGGATGTGTCTTCAGCAGAACGGTGACTCAGCCTGCTGTCACTCATGAAGAAGTGGGCAGGGCTGCAGGGGAGAATATGAGAATAGTAACCTGTGAAGGAGGAAGCAAGGGGGAAATTCTCTTTCATTTTTGTGAAGATGCTTAAGAAGGCGAGTATCACCCTGCTGGAGGCAAAGAACCACAGAGAGGCTGGTGAGAGAGGGAAAGAGCATAGCAAGCAGACACAGAGGAGCAGAGGAGAAAGTAGTATGGCCCGGGCTGCTCTTCTAATCTATTTGCACACAGCACTTTTCCTCAATATTCTGGAAACAGGACATGCCAGTGAAAATAGTACCAGAGTGCTGAAAGCTACAGCTCCAGGAGATATCATCATTGGAGGGATCTTTCCCATTCACGAAGACGTAGACAAAGACAACACTTTCTCTGGACCCCACATACAGCGATGTATCAGGTGAGATCATTCAACCTAATATGAATGACATCACGATAAACAGCCAGGTTATTTTTCTGTTTTACTTTTTCAACTTCACATTTCAAGTTTTAACCTTGACTCTTTGGATGAATCACCCAAACTCCAGAAAGGTCTCCTTTGAGTGTTAACAAAGTTAAGCATACAGTTCAGTCCTGTAAGAGACAAAATAACATGCTATTCATGTGGTCAAAGGAAGTTTTACTTAAAGGATCAGTGTGTAGGATTTAAAGGCATCTAGTGGTGTAGATGCAATTCCCTGGCTTCAACCTCCCTTTTCAAAGCACAGAAGAGAAGAACAGTGGATGCGAAACATCCTATCAGAGCCACTGTTTGGTTTGTCCATTCTGGGCTACTGTAGAAACATGATAGGGCAGTCTTAGCACACTATTTGTTTAAATATCTTAAAACATGTCATACAGGAGATTTTTAAAGATTGTTCTTAAGGTCCAGTGTGTAACAGG